TGGGGGTTTTCTGCGGGGGCCCGTGCGGGTTAGCGCTGGTCGGGCCCGGCCGGGGGGGAGCACCGCTTCCACCCTGGCGGGCTCGTGGGCAGCGTCGGGTCGGGGGTCTCCAAACGGTGAGGTGACCTTTCCTCCACGAAGGACTCATGTGCAGCGCACTGCGTGGGCGTCTAACACGGCACGGGCCTTCGAACGCTTATGTTAACGCAGTTGTTCGCATCTGCCTCCTGCATGTCCTTGGGGGGCAGGAGTCTCTGGACGAGGAGGCGCAGAAGAAGGCGGACAAGCTGTCCGACTTTCGCCGTCGCAAGGTACCGCTGGGGAAGTAGGAGAGGGGATGGGAGGAGGGATGGAGGGAAACATGGATGGAGGTGAGGAATGCCGGGCCAGGAACCGAGGAGTGGAGGGTCGAAGAGGAAGGGAGGAAGTGGGGAGGCTAGAGCGAGGGATGATGGGATGGATGGATGAAGCTATCAACGGTCGGAGGGACGGATTGCTGGAGGGACGAGTGAAAGGCAGGGGTGGGCAAGGGATAAACAGAAGGTCACTCTGCGACACCACGGCCTGATCACGCTGGGCCCGCCACTCAGACGGTGTCCTGCCGCCGCGAGCTGGGCGCATCCTGCGCCGCCGCCGCCAGCCGCCGAGGCGCCCCGTGGCCACGGGGGACTCCCGCCGCGGCCTCTGCGTGGCCCGAGGCGCCCGCGCACGGCCGGCGTGTGGCGGCGAGGCCTCCGGAGGGGCGGGGCCCATGCACAGCCCACAGGCGCGGGCGCAGCGCAGCAGCACCGCGGGCCTCGCGCCGACCCAGCCTGCTGCCGCCCGGGGCCCGCGGCCGCCGCGCGCGGCGCCCCACCCCCGCTGCGGCTCGGCGCGCGGCTTGCAGCACGGCGGCGCCCAGGAACGGCAGGCCGCCTCCCCGAGGCTCACGCCCAGCGGAGCGCGGCCGGCGCTCGGTCATCTCCTCCTCCTCCTCCTCCTCCTCCTCTCCTCCTCTTTCTCCCTCCTCCTCGCCCTCCTCCTCCCCCCTCCTCCTCCTCCTCCTCCTCGCCCTCCTCTGCCTAGTCCTACCTGCCTCCCTCTCTTTCTTCATCTCCCTCCTCCTCCTCCTCCTTCTCCACCTCCTTCCTCCTCCTCCGCCTCCTCCTTTCTTCATCGCCCTCCTCCTCCATCCCCTCCCGCTCCCCTCCTCCTCCCTCCTCCCTCTCCTCCTCCTCCGCCTCCTCTCCTCCCCCCTCCTCCGGCCCCTCCTCTCCGCCTCCTCCGCCTCCTCCTCCTCCTCCTCCCTCGTCCTCCTCCTCCATCCTCCCCTTCCTTCCGTCTCCTCCTCCTCACCCCTCCTCCTCACACCTTTCTCCACCCTCCCGCTTCTTCCCCCCCCGCCTCCTCCTCCTCCTCCTCCTCCTCCTCCTCCTCCTCCTCCTCCTCCTCCTCCTCCTCCTCGTCCTCCTCCTCAGCGTGCAGTGCTCGCCGAGCGCGCTTCTCGCGGCACCGAGCCCGCCAGCACGCCGTGGGCGGCCCCCGCGGCTTCGGCGGACGCGCCGAGCGTCGCCGGAGCGGCGGGCGACACCGCCCAGCAGCGCCAGCTGCCCGTGCCAGGCACGCGGCGGTCACTTCGCTGCAGAGCTGGGGAGGGGAGAGGCGAACGATGCGGAGGAGGAGGAGGCGCAGGAGGAGGAGAAGGAGGAGGAGGAGGAGGAGGAGGAGGATGAGGAGGAGTAGGAGGAGGAGGAGGAGGAGGGAGCGACGGAGGAGGAGGCGGAAGAAGAGGAGGAGGAGAAGGATGATGAGGAGGAGAAGGACGAGGGCCGGCGACGCCTGCAACACGGGCTTAAGCCATGGCAGCTTGAGCCGAAATTGCTATACACGTAGAGACAAACTACAGAGAGAAAGAAGAGAGAGGCATGGACAACACAGGGTACGGTAAGGGGTGAGGGACGGCCTCCACCTCCTCCTCTTCCTCTTACTCTTATTCCTTCTACAGCCAAGACGCTGAAATAAGGAACAGTTTGGATTCGGAAGGGGCTCGATGTTCCTTATGTCCTTCCGTGGTTGTTCCTCTAGCCCTTCTCGTGCACCCAGGCTTTTTGAAACCACAGAGGGGCTTCGTTCCTTATTTAGCGCTCCTTGTTTCAGCAGCCCGACTGTACTCCGCCTCCTCCTCCTCCTCCTTCTCCTCCTCCTCCTCCTCCCCCTCCCGTTCCTCCTCCTCGTCCTCTTCTCCTACCCTCCTCCCCTCCTCCTCCCTCCCTCCCTCCTTCATGTTGCTGCTGATCCAACATCCTCCCTCGATCCTTCCTCCATTCCTCCTTTTCTCCGTCCCACTACTGCTGCTGCTACTATCACTACTAGTACTACTACTAGTATTACTACCACTACTACTACTACTACTACTACTACTACTACTACTACTACTACTACTACTACTTCTGCTACTACGACTTTCACTACTACTACTACTACTACTACCACCACCACTACTACTACTACTACTACTACTACTACTACTACTACTATTACTACTACTACTACTACGACGACTACTACTACTACTACTACTACGACTACGGCTACGACTACGCCTCCGACTACGACTACGACTACGATTACGACTACGACTCGACAACTACTACGACTACGACTACGACTGAGACTACGACTACTAATATTATTATTACTACAACTACTAGTACTACTACTACTACTACTACTACTACTACTACTACTATTCCTACTACTACTACTACAACTACTTCTACTACTGCGATGGTATTACTGCTACTTTTACTACTACTTTTACTACTACTCCCACTACTGCTACTACTACTACTACGCTTACTACTACTACTGCTGCTACTACTACTAGTACGACAACTACTACGACGACGACTACTACTACTGCTACTACTACTACTGCTACTGCTACTACTACCACCACTACTACTATTAATACTACTACGACGACTACTACTACGACTACTACTACGACTACGACTACAACCTCTGCTACGACTACGACGAGTACTACTACTACTACTACTACGACGACGACTACTACGACTACTACGGTTCTTCTACTACAGCTATTACTACTTGTACTACTACTACGACGACGACGACGACTACTACTACTACTTCTTCTACTACTACTGCTACTACCACTACTGCTGCTGCTGCTACTACTACTACTACGACGACGATCACGACTACTACTACTACTGGTGTTACGACTTTCACGATACGACTACTACTCCTCCTCCTCCTACTACTACTACTGCGACTACAACAACAACTACTACTACTACTACTACTACTACGACGACTACGACTACGACTACGACTACTACTATTATTAACACTACTCATACTATTACTATTACTACTACTACTCCTCCTCCTCCTACTACTACTACTACTACTACTGCCACTATACTAGTTCAACTATACTACTACTACTACTACTACTACTACTACTACTACTATTATTACTACTACTACTACTACTACTACCACCTACTACTACTACTACTGCTACTACTACTACTACCTACTACTGCTACTACTACTGCTGCTGCTACTACTACTACTGCTACTACTACTACCTCTACTACCTACCTCCTACTACCTACTACCTACTACCTACTACCTACTGCCTACTTCCTACTAGCTACTAGCTACTAGCTACTAGCTACTACCTATCTACTACCTACTACCTACTACCTACTACCTACTACCTACTACCTGCTACCTACTACTACTACTACTGCTACTACTACTACTACTACTACTACTACTACTAACTAACTACACGACTACGAAACTACTCACTACTACTACTGCTACTGCTACTACTACTACTACTACTACTACTACTACTACTACTACTACTACTACTACTACTACTACTATTACTACTACTACTAGGGTAATCTGGGGTCCATGTTAAGTTATTGGAGGCTCTTGAGCCTTGATGATTCCTCGTGACTCTGCGAGAATCTTCAGGATTCGGCATGATTCCTGCGGATTTGTAGGAATCTTGAGGCTACTGAGGGTGCCTCAGGATTCTGGATTCCTCGGGATTCCGCAGGGTCCAGGGCTTACGACCCTCAGCCCAGGGCCTAGGGCCCATGGTTCGAGGCTCAGGGCCCAGGGCACACAGCCCAGGGCCAAGAGCTCATGGCTCAGAGCACTAAGGGTCCAGAACTCAGTGCCCAGGGCCCAGGGCCCAAGTCTGGGGTCAGGGACCAGGGCGCATGGCACAGGGCACGGGGCACAGAGCCCAGGGCACAGGTCTCAGGGCTCAGGGCGCAGGGTTCAGGGCCCAGGGCCCAGGGCTCAGGGATCATGGCTCAGTGCTCGGGGATTCGGGGCGCAAGTCACTGGGCACGGGGCGCAGTTCTCAGGGCTCAGGGCGCACGGCACAGGGCCAGGGCCCTGGGCCCAGGGCTCAGGGATCACGGCTCAGGGCTGAAGGCTCGTGGCGCAAGGCACAGAGCACGGGGCACAGGCTCAGGGTGCAGGCCTGAGGGCACAGGGTTGAGGGCTCAGGGTCCAGGGGCCAGGGCCCAAGGCGCAGGGCTCAGGGCTCGGGGCTCACGGCCCCAGATTCCTGGGGGTTCTTTTTGATTGTTGGAGATCCCTTTGCATTCGCCAAGATGCCTGTGTATTCCTTTGCGTTCCTTCGGGTTCGTCTGGTGTCATCTGGGATCCTCTGGAGGGTTCCCCGAGCTTTTCGGGGGTCTCTAAGGTCCCTCGGGATTATTGTGGATGCCGGCACACGCCTCACACGGTTCGTGGCCCCACAGGGAGCTCCACCGAAGGCCCCAGTGGTAAGGTTCACGTGCGCCCCCGCGGCTAATTTCGGCA